AAATAAGTTTCATCAAAATAAGTTCAAATCGACTTGAATAGGCGTTGTACCTAAGGCTTTTGATTCTGTCGATCGTCAAGCTCAATGTCTTTCTTTCGTCTGCACCGAAGAATACAACATACATAGAGACTAACTAAAATTGAGGTCAGTGTCATTCGCACACCGACCCCTATTCGGCTTCTTCATTATCATCGACTCCTTGGAACTCCTCACCGACCCCTAGGGGGTCGCTCGGACCCCGTTTGATGAACCCTGATCTAAAGTATAACTCCTGTCTGAAATAGTGCAAAAAGATACTAAAGACTTTTATAGTTTCCCTTTGAATTAATGCATTTTTTTCGAAGAAGTAAAATGCAATGCAGTACAGAACATTTTCAAGCCGTTTACTTGATTCTATATGAATAAGTACCGGAAGCCTTTTAGTTTCTTTCATCTATGCTGTGTGCATGAAGGCATATTCTTACACATCCATAGCGTGGGTGGAAATTCCTAGTCATCGGCTAATCACACATGACCACCTGTTCGAAAGCAAGTCAATCGTGTAATCACGAATCCTCTGCACCTCGCAATGTCAATCGTAATTTTCACTTTTTTTTTATTCTCCTTCTTTTATTGTTCTCGTTACTTAATAATATTTTTCTTATTATTTCACACTTGCGTCTTAATGGCTTTATTGCCATGTTTGGGTTGAAATCGATTAAAAAAATTGTAATCTGATATATAGTCAACATTTGCTACATTTTTAAGGGAAGAGTGTTCTATATTGGAGATAGAATGTTTATAAATATAGACAGTGTGGACATAAGAATCAACACTGCATATTTACTGTCGGTTTTACGCAGCATTTAAGCATGAAACTGACAGTCAGACTGCAGTGTTGATTCCTCTGTCCACCCTATAAAAGGGGGAACAGCTCCCCTTATCGTGTGCGTATTCTCTGTCATTCCATCTTTCTTCGCTCGCCCACGTTAAATACAATATGGAGATCTAGTTTTTTTTCCGAAATAATGCCAACCAAATATGTAATCGTAGAGACATTTTTTTTATTACGGTTGAAGATAATTCCCCTCTTTAATTTATTGTGGCCAATTCTTATCAGTATTAAACTTTTTGTTTGTTTTTTACTTTTAGGTTTTTGAAGAACTGAAATACGTTGTAACTTACAATTAAAAACAATTTTCAAAAAATACTTTTGTAACTTGAATTTGTAACTTTAAAAAATTCCTCTGCTCAAAATAGAAGCTTTCAATGGGAACATTGTTTTGTAAGGCTTATTTATTTAAAGAAGTGAATCTTTTTTTTCAAGCCTGCTTTTCTTCTAGGGAGGTTGATATGGAGCAGACAATTTTCTGTGAATGATGTATAATGAAAACCATGTTGAATGGATGTATACCATAGTCGTCTTAAGCGAAAATTACTGGCTTTTCTTATCTTGGCTACTTGCAAATGTCTCTTTTGTTCCACGAGTAATATGTTTGTTGTCAACATTCATAGTCGCTAGGGAAGTGAGGCCTTTAACTGTAAGATCACTGCGCCATGCCATTTTGACGATGTAACCGACACACGCTAACGAAATAAAATGTCCATCTTGTAATGTTTTATAGACGTTTTAACCATCTTTTTTAGCGAGAGTCTGAATATATGATTGAAATACTGGTAGATTTTGCTCACATTTTATCTAAAACTTATGTAATAGCAAAAAAGTGTAACACCTATCCTGACCCCACTGGATGGATGTAGTCTACAAGACCCGGCCGTTGGTCCTGTCCTGAATCAGTATTACAAATTCAATTAAAGTCTCCGGTTCACAATGTCGATTTGATTCCACTTTCCAACCACGTTATGATTTTTTGATAGGAATTAATAAATCGTACATCCCGGAAGATTCAGCTGGTCTACCTGCAAGTTCCTTGGGGCGAGAATCGGGCCAAGCAGGAAAATCAAATATGAACAAGTCGATACGAGTCCAAAGAAAAAAATTATGTATATGTATATATGGAAGAATATTGGTACAAAAGAATAATGCTTCTTTTATAAGAAAGTAGTGTATATGAAATAAAGTCCAGAAAAAAATATTACAAATAATTCTCAAAGGAGAAAAGTAGTTTTCGGGTTCATCCTTTTTGTTCTTAGTAGTTGCCGTAATTATTTCATTATCAGGACATAAAGGGGTTCACTGGTAGTATTGCGCCAATATTGCAGGTAAATTGAGTTCACTTCCTCTCTTATTACATTAGCAAGCACTCTCTCTCTCTCTCTGCTTATCTCTGTCTCTCTCACTGCCTATCTCTGTCTCTCTCTGGTCGGCTTCGACTCGACTGACTGTTTTCCCACAAACACACGCTTAAATAAACGCAGTGGTAGCGACAAAACCCCGGTGTGTTGGTAAACTTACAACCAAATTACTGACTTCTCTCCCTTCACGATTAAATGAAGAGTCTCTTCGTTTCAATTGGTATTCCATAGTTAATATAAACACTATTGTTTTGACATTTTATATCAATAATTCTGACGAAGCACAGATTCTCTGGCCACAAACTTCACCCAGATTATTTTTCCCATGTATAAACAAAATTCTATATTCCTATAATTATTAATATTTCAAGGGTCACCATTGCTCTCTGCCACAAAAGTACTTTGTATCAAAATCCTAAATCAGCTCAAGTGAAGACGTAATCACTTAGGGTGTATGACCACAAAATAATTACCTTGTATTACATTTACAAAAATGAATAACTTATTTTTATTTTCCAGATTTTGGGGGACCACCTTGCCTACAGATATGAAATCATCGAAGTGTTGGGTAAAGGATCCTTTGGCCAAGTGGTCAAAGCTTTTGACCATCGAACGAATGAAGAAATTGCAATAAAAATCATCCGAAATAAGAAAAGGTAAGAAACGACAAAAAAAAAAGTAGACTGACTTTTCCATATTTGTTAGAAAAGCGGTGGAAAGCTGCCTGGTACCAATTTTTGGGTGTTGGGACTATGTCCGCTTTAAATTTCCCCCTCATTCGACGACTTTTATATTCATTCTTATTTCACGTCTCAATCTCTTATGTTCAAACCAGAACAGAGTTCAAAGTTAATTCATTACAATTGTTTGTCAATGTCGACACCAGCGTAAATCTCGGATTGACATTGTAAATCGATTGAAGGGAATCAACGTAAGTATACTACAGTACACACGATTCTTTTGTTGGTAGAAGCTAAATTTTTGTGATAACTTAATACTAATCAGCCCTTGTCGGCATAATGTTAAAAGCCATTGTCACAGATGAATGCGATTGGAAAAAAATATAGTAAATTGTCGTGACTCTCCAGCTAAAGTTCGTGACCACTGCTCAGCGTATTGACATTGTCATCTGATCAGTTCGTTCAAATATATTCAAATATATCTCTTAGACGGCGCAACGTTTCACTGGATAGGCTATTCAGACTGTAAAAGGGTGATAAGTCGAATAGAAATAAAAAGTAATTAAAACGTGTTGGTACTGGAAGTTAAACGCGTACTTGTTAATGAAATTTTCTAGGAGAAAATTGGCGGGGGCGGTTACGGGAAATAAAGTACTGTGCTGCTCTTAAAGAGAGGGTAAATCGCTCTTCATTAAATAGACCGAACAATTAGGTTTAGATAGGCAGAAACGGAAGTGCAAATAGAATATAGATTGTCACTGGAAGATGGGAACTCCCTTATTATATTAGCTAGCCGTGAGCAAACGCTACCAGGAACAAGGAACTAGGATTAGGTTAAAAAGAATTTCTTTCGACGCAGAAGTGTTTTAGGGACAGTGGTGTTGGGTACTTTATCGCTACATTTTTGTAGGTTCCCTAAGAGTATGCGGTATTGTGGTATATTCTGGAGGTGATGGATGAGTTCTTGTGCTGAATGAGTTAATTGTAATGAATGAATCGGTTGTGAATCTCATTGACTAGTATAGCTTATAAAGACCAGCCCCTCCCTAATTCACCTTCGACCTTGTGCCACAATTTCTGTAAACGGCAGAAATTAACGAGTATGCTGTATTGTGGTGTATGGAGGATTGAATGATGATGGATGAATTCTTGTGATGGATGTACAAATTGTAATGAATGAATGGGTCATGAATCTGATTAGCTAGGTCTAAGGTAGTGTCGACCAGCCTCAACCCATTCCCCCCTTTTAGGCCTTGTGCCACAATTGTATTCCATATGCAATAAATCTCTGTGACCCGACCATGGAACCCTTATTTCGAAAGCTGAGTTTATGACAACCTCTATGTTAATTATGATGATTGTAAACACTTCCGGTCCTACTATGTGCAAAACTGATCGAGCTGGAGTTTGAATAAAATTGTTCAGTTTACCAGGTCTCGTGTCGTTTCAACTTTCCAGCAGCCAGTCTCCTACAATTTATCTTTCCACCCTAAGCCCAGTGGAACACTGAGATAGACCAGTTTTGTTCGGAATAAGCCGGGGTGACCGCATTCACCAATTCGCACCTTTTACGCTTTGGCGTCCTGACACCGTGGAACTACGGAAGGTAAGTGAACTGTTTGAAATGGTGACTGGACTAAGATTAACCACGGCAAGTCCAGCGTTTGATGGTGCGGCGTACAGAAGAGGATCACCCTTCAGATAACTCCCCGTCTTTAAAGTTCAAAGCTTCGATTCTAAAAGCGATTGTCGTAAAACGATAGAACGGAGACACGCTTTCCATAAAGGAGGGACGATGTCACGTAAAAGTTCAGTGCTCTTTTCTTTGTTTCTAATGAACTTTTCCTGTTTTTCTTTTTCCTTGCTTAGCTTTTGGAAGGCATCTTTCGCTTTCCAATAGGCCTTTGGATTCCGCAATTGCATTTTCATCCTCTGTTAAAACACTTCCGAGATATTTGGATTGTTTTTACTTGTTTGATTTTGGCGTCTCCAATTTTTAGTTCGTTATCTTGGGATCTTCCTTTTACTGACTCTACATTCTTATAATTATTGCTTAGTCCTTTCTTCTTGTTTTCCTTTTACTTATGTAGGAGTTTCCTTTCTGTGTCTTCTATAAACACTGTAATCTGAATATCTAATGTTAAGATTCTGACCGCAAATAATGAATCCTGGTATGACTTCCAATTCTCGCAGGATTGCCTCACTGAAAATGTTGAACAAATCCGATGAGAAGACACACAAAATAGTAAGAAGCGTAAGACAAGAGTGTATTTACTAAATTAATTTTTCCATCCATATTGCAGGCGGTTTGCTCTCAGTATAAACTCTTGATAATTCCAATATCCTTTTCAAACAAATCAAACTTATAGTTCTTTGTGTTATTCTTGTTTTACGCCGCTTTCACTTTGGGAAAATATTTTCCAGTTTTGCCTGATTTTATCAGAGATTAAACTACATGATTGATGTCAATCAAGTTTTTTTTTTAATTTAATTTGCTTATTTATTTACTTTATTCGCTTGTAGGGGAAACATTTTCTACTTTTTTAACAAAAAGTGCGGTTAGGGAAATGAAAATTTTATGACAATTCAGTTGGTAAAAATGATTCAATGCCTGCTGTATTTACAAACGTGCAGTTATCTCCCTTTACTTCTACAAGAAGGTTTGATTGATTTGTACCTTTTTTTTTATTTTTAAGAGCAATTAATTTAATTATACACGCATTTATTTTCTTTTTATAGCAACAGTAAAAAATTGATCTCCAGAGTTTATCCACCCAAGAAAAGGCCAATAATTACTATTTCTCCTTTAAATTGGCTCTCGTGAATGATGCGTTAATTTCCCATTATTTGAAAACTGACAAATCAGAATCGTGCTGTGATACGTGACAGTTGAATTCCTTATGTACAAAATATTATTTCATTAAAGCAGGGAGATAACTCTTTATTATTTCTGTAACATTAGTTGTTTTTTTTTTCTCTTCAGGAAGTAAATGATTTGAGAAATGTTGTAGTCCTTAGTCTGATATGCCAAAGAACTAGGCTATTACTTTGTAGAAAGAGAACGACGTGGTGGGGGAACCCATCACTTTATAGTCTAGAGAAAAAGAAAACAGTTTCTCATGTTATTAATTGTTAAGTAGGAACTAGAAATTAGCATGGGTCATTTAATTGTTCCAAACAAAACCAGTGTTTGAAGATTCAATTTATACTTGTGTTTTTGTTTCATGATTTTGTGATACAAGTCTTGGTGATTACTAAGAAGGAAATTAGACTAAAATCAGTCGAAATTTTTTCTTCGAAATAGCTTAGTCTATCTTTCTGTCTCTATCTTATATGCTGTGTTCATAATTATGCATCAACGACATTGGTTGGTTGTGCATGAACTCAAAACGAGGACTTATTAAAGTAGAGAAGTAGATATTTTATCGCTACTCACTAAAGTTTCACAAATATGTAGCTGTTCATTTGAGATTCTCTTTTGCACATCTTTCATTATACAGAAACTGTTTAATTACCCCCCCCCAATTAATTAATTAAATATCTGTCAGAGACTTTATTTAAAAGATCTTGACATTATTTATTAAATATCGAGTTAGTTTCAAGCTACGGGTGCTATGGGCATCGCTTTTATCCGGCATGTACGAATCAATGCCATTTAATTTTCTAAAAAAAGAAAATCGTCCCACAGGAAATGAAAAATCTTCAAATTTTGGTTACTTAAAGTTTATCATTCTGTCAAGTTTACACGAACTCGATTTTTTTTCTCTCTTTTACTGCCGGTCATTTTTTAAGTTGTCCAGTCTCTCATATTACTGGACGGATTTCGCACAAGTTTTCTTTTGCTATTTAATTTTTCCCGAAAGGCGACCAGTCACATGGAAGTGAAGTTTGGTTTTTCCTTGCCTATAAATCGTAGTGGAGAGCATCTTTAATTTAAATGCGTGTCACTTTTTCTGTTGGTAGTCAGCAGTGGAAAATTGTCTAAGTACTTTTTATTTTATTATTTCTACTATAGGTTCCACCAACAAGCTCACGTGGAAGTGAAGATCCTGGAAGCTTTGCTGAAGAGAGATAAGGATAATCGTCATAATCTCATTCATATTGGAGAACATTTTATTTTTCGTAACCATTTGTGCATTACTTTTGAATTAATGGGGTGAGTACAGCTCAGACACTGTCGATAACATTGCCACTGTCATTGATATTTTAAAATGGATGCTAAATTCCTTAATCGTTAAGGGGGGAATAATTATTACCCTTTTACTTTTCTCATAAGATTTAAATCCGCTATTATCGACCTCAAAAAAATACAGATTCTTTACAAGTTTCTTTAAATGAAAACTGTACTGCTAATCATTTTTTTTTTTTTTTTTTTTTTGAAATGCTAAAATTTCATATTTTAAAATTTCATTACTAATTTTTCTTAAAATTTAAACTGCACCCTAGAGTTTTAGTTATTCTACAAGTTCTCGCTGAAGTAAAACATTGGTATACAAGGAGGTGTACATGAAATCTGTAGCCTCCCCGAACAGAATTATTCGAGTTTTTTTTTTTTTTTAGTGTTGGCTTATTGACTCCTTCTAGCAGAACAGTCTTCTTAGAAGTACTGCTAGTTTCCTGTAACCTATTCGTCTGCCTCTTACCGTTTTCTCGCAACAGTGAACAGTCTTTTGCTCCAGAAATATATTGTTTGCTATCTCCAGATCAGTTGAAATTTCTTTTTTAAGACCTTCATATCTTTGAAAATGCAGTTGTATTTTTTCCGGGTCGGCAATTTAAATGTTTTCTCCAACATTATACTTCTTCGTATGTCCCAAGGACTTTGTGCGCCTTATTGCTTGATTTGTAGGGATGACCATGGAGCCGGTGGTGATTTTGAAGGCGGTTTGGTTTGGTTTGTTTTACGGCATATCAATGGGTTAATTAATGCCGACAAAATTTTCATTGCTGATAAGATTTTGTTTTGTCAAAAATCTATTTCTGATAATTTTTTTTTTTTTAAATGTGTTGCTGTAATAATTTTTTTTTTCAAATGTATATCTGGTAATAGTTTTTTTTCCTTTAAAAATTTATTGCTGGAAATAATTTTTTTTACAAAGTATTTCTGGTATCAAAACCTGTTTTTACACTTTCATAGTGTTTTGACCCCAGTTTCGGGGTTAAATATTTGCCCATAGCTGGGACCCTAACAGTTGCTACCACCCCGGGTCAGGGTGGACCTGGGAACACCAGCAGTTAAGAGGTGGTTCCACACTCCTCAAAACCTCCTTGCTGTTGGACGTAGTTTATCGTCATACCCAGGATGTTTGAAAGTGGGTATCGGAGAAAATAGAACAGTCGAGGAAGCTGTCACTTCGTTTAAGTCTTGATGTATTTTGCTAACGTTGCCAGGCGGGATGAAACTAAACTTTGTAGACTATAATTCCGTGTAAAGGAAAGTAATTTGGTAAAATAAATTCTTGGAGATTACGAACAAATAAAAAATGCTTCGCAAAAATGAGATGTGTTCTCAAAGTTCGACTTGAGAGAAGATGTGAATTCACACTGGGTGTACAGAAACAAGAAAGCGGCGAGCCGAGTTCGAATTCTGGTAGAGATCGTTAAATTCACTTTCGCATACTTTCAAAAGGTAGGAATCCATATCTCTCTCTTTCTATAGGGTAAACAAACTGGATTCTCTAGCCTTAGTTGGCAACCAATATAGGAGAAAGACACATGAATTCAGAACCGTATGTGGTCTTGTAACTAATATCCGCTCAGCATTGTTGCTTCTGTGGGCGTTGAAAAAAACAAATAGGCCTAAGCAGATGGTCATGCTCGACAACGAGTAGACATGGTGAAGAGGGGAAATAACACGCAAACCGAAACAACTCTGATGAAGATGACAGATTCATATTTGCGTATTTCCTACCGCCATCTGAGTTTGGTGTTCAATCCCTGATAAAAATATAAGCTTTCAAATAATGATTTTTTTTTTTAGCCATACACCTACATCACAAATCTTTGAAAAGATATAACACCATGTACAGAATGAGAAACAAGTACTAACTTTAGGAGTCTCTGTCGAAATTTCTGGAATGAAGAGTTATCATTATTTACACTATTTACATTCGGACAATTTTCCTCATCTTTGTTGTTGTTATTGGAAAGTTTCGGTCTAAACTTTGTGATAACTCCTAAAAACTCAGACTATATCGAATCGGTTCGGACCTGATATCTACAGTAATGGACACCGAAACGTTGCGATAACAACAACAACGATGAAGACAATAATCCGAATGTAAAGAGTATAAATAATTAGCAACTTTACCTATATAAACCAAACAACCACGCATCAATAAACTTTCATTCAATTTAGGGGAAAAAAAAAGAATAGCATGGCAGCATAGGGTTATTTTTTCGGATAAGATATTTCAAAGTAAAAGAAATGTAATACTCAGAAGCCAGCAAGAAAACCCACATGCATACGTTTGCAAACACCTTATTCATCTAATGAAATCTCAAAGCTGAATGAGCTCAAAATTCATTGGACGGCTCCGCTTTCAAGCAAACAAAATACCGTAACCGAAGAACAATAAATATTGTAACTCCCACTCATTTGACCTTGCATCCTGGGTATGACGATAAACTACATCCGGCATCGGGAGATTAGAGGTTTTGAGGAGCGTGATAAGCCACTAAACAAAATCAGCCAAACCCAATCATTTGACATTGTATCAGACATTATAAAAGTCACCGGACAATATTTGAAAGACAACAATTTGACATTGAATGCAACCATATTTCTTGTGTTTCCTCGACCAACTGATTTTGCATTTCCTGTTCTTTATTAATCAGAATGTTTGTTCTTTTTGGTGAACACTGTTCATTCATGGTTTCGAAGTTTCATCTCGTCTTTGAGAGAACGTGTGAGAGCAGACAACGATGTCGTCGGCAGGGAAACTCCGTTTGTCCCATATGGTTGAATTAATCCTGCTTATCTGTGTTTGCCAGAAAATGTCTTTATCAACGTTACAAAAATAGAAGTCTGAGAGATCAAGAGTTCAAGCTTGCCGTTAAACACAAGATCTGTGCTAAGCGTTTCGTAATCGTAATTTATTTTGAAAGAAACGAAGACTAAAAATAAGTAAAAAGATAAAAAGGTAGTCTCGATGTTTTAACCTTTAGGACGATATGAATGAAGTCTCTTCACATTATTTGTCTTTTTAACCAGTTTGTCAAGTGAAAGAATTTAACGTTACGCATATGTTTTATTATATTCGGAGACGCTTGGCAAGAAGGTCCTTTTTTGTTTTCTCCTTTTTGTGACATGGAAAGACTAAGAAAAGAAACTGATACTCAAAACGCAAATTTGCGTGTGCATTTAGATTTCAAACGGAGCCGAACAAAATTGTATAAAACCGACTTGTTTGGTCTTTCTATTCTTGTTCAAAAAGATTTTTTTTTTAAATCTTTTTTTTTTTTTTAGTTAAAACACCACATTTTTAATTTATCAAATTTCAAATATTTTTAAAAAGATTGTCGTTACAAAGAAATTAAGGACAACGATTGTTTTAAACTGTAAACTCAGACGATGTTTCGTACTGCTAAGGATTTTGGTGTTAATTGGAAGTACGTGTATAAGTATCTGTCCATGCCTAGAATTCTAAATATCTAAAATAAATATAATTGAATGAGTTCACTAGAGTTTGAAGCCATTGTTTTAAAATGATACTGACAATCTTTAGTTAGTGTAAGAATATTGAGTATATCAATTGTTTCTTCCAAGTAATTATGAAAATAGTCTTTATGGGACCTAAACTAAAAAAAAAAATACTATTTCTCATATATGTGTGTGTGTGTTGTGTGTCACTGGATCTAACTAACGCCTTTATCCACTGTGCCATATGAGGATATCCGTGTATGAATTTCTGGGTATCTAATGTTATCAGCAACCATTTTTACTGTTATAATTGCATATTTCTATCAGAGTTCATATTGCAATTTTTGTTATTATCGCTTTTCTCTGGTACTCCTTATTACTGGTTCCCATATTGTATTCATTTCTATGGTTGGTCGGCTCAGGAGATGCTTGTGGCCTAGCATATGTGCTGATTCCTTAAGTTTACGAATTTTCCAATGATGTTCTTTGTCTATGATCTCAACCTGATCCCACAGAGGGCGGTGACAGGGCCCAAAGAGTGTGCGTTCAATACCTGGTTAAGGCGGTGGAGAACTTGGAGAGGGGAATTAACAGGAGATGACTATCATTAGTAGAACATTTTAGATTAACAGAATATATATAGTCTCAGCATTTTTGAATTTTTTTTTCTTTTTTACAGCTTATCAATCATTTGTGGGTTTATTTGGAACCGACACCTATTTTTTTTTTTTTTTTTTTTTTTTTTTGGTGGGATGATAGTAAGAATAATTCTTTTTTGTAAGTGAATATTGCAATAACAATAAGTTTTCCAGATCCAAGTCCTATATAACCCATAGCTGGAGGGGAAGAAATGGATTCATATTTTGAAGAAGTTGATCACTGCAAAAGAAAGCAATGAATGAATAAATGTATTCATAAGAAAAAGATAACCTCGATCCTCAACAAATGCCCCATAAAAAATTTGACATTAAATAACCCAACGGGGATGGGGGTGATATATTGTTAAATATGTAGGCCTAACTTACTGGAAGCATGTCTCTTTGTCATTCGCATAAGAGATATCATCAGTGTATTAAGATATTTGGTTATGGACATATTTTAAAATCTAATAACTTTCGGTTATTTTAAATCTAATCAACCTATAGACTTCACTTCACAAACGTTTTTTTTTTTTATTTTTAGAAAAAGTGAAAGTACATAAAATATTACTATTGTATTTTTGAGTCAAATCAGACATTTTTTTTCTCTTTTATTTTCAGAATGAATCTTTACCAGTTGATTAAAAGAAATAATTTCCAAGGTTTTAGTGCCGGGCTTATCCGAAAGTTCGCCATGGCGCTTCTTCAGTGTCTGAAGCTGTTGTACAAAGAGAAGATAATTCACTGTGATCTCAAGCCAGTAAGTTTCACAAAGATGCACCAGCAATTATTGCCGCGTTGTTTTATCACTTAATCTAAAATCGCAATCCCGGGAATCAAATGATAACTTAGAAAAGAATTGCCATCATTCGCTTTTTTTTTCTCTAACTTATCATTGTAGCAAATGTTCCTCGTAGGCCAGTGTGATTTTTCTATGGTGGCCTTGTGTCAGACTAGGCTAAGCTCAATTAATATTTACTAAAAGAAAACCAACTTAAAAACGCTTTCCGTTAGAATCGGATATCTTGGGATATATGTTTGTACAACAAGCCGACTGCCTGTGAATTTGGTAGTAACAAAATTCGTTAATATTTTTTATTTTTAATAAGTGGGAAGAAAAAAAGAAAAATATACTCGGATAATTACAAACACTAAAAATAACTTAGTATTACTAATTTAATTTCATCCCGAGAAAGGTGTCCTAAGGAATGCATCATTTGCATAACTATATCCAGTTCGAATCACGTTGGGATTCACTTAATTTTGATCTTATGCTTTAGCGTGACAACGGACATAGGTTATTAGACTTGTATGAACGCCAGAAAATGAATGACAAAAAAGACAGGGGGGGGAGTAAATGTGTCTGTGTCAGGGGAGGGGGAGGGTTGCAGATAAACATGTAATACCGAGAGTTGATTTCCCTCTATGACTAGTGATTTCTGTGAATCTCATCATTTTCTGTGTTTACTGATTCACAGCTGCGTGTATTGAAATACTATTCGAGTTGACTATTAATCTTATATCTACCGTCAAATGATTAATCTGGCTAATATTTTTTTTTTTTTATTCCTCAGGAAAATATTCTTCTACGGCAACGTGGACAGAACTCGATTAAAGTCATTGATTTCGGATCCAGTTGTTACGAGAACCAACGCGGTGAGTGGAAATAACATCGATTCTATTTATTTTCGAGTCATTTATTTTACGATATTATTTGTAATCGATCCTTGCCTGCAGAGACACGAACGGTGTTCGAAAGATTTTTTTAAACCCAGCATTCTTAATTGAACAGCGGGAAAAGAATATTTGAATTCTACTTTTCGATAAATACATTTTTTTTTTTTGCATCTATTGCATCTCTTGAGGACACTTAGCAACACAACGTTTAATATTTTTGCACACGATCATAGATTTCTTGCAATGATATATTATCCAGAGTCAGAAATTCAATAGCAAATCGATACTTCGATTTCTGTTTCTGGTATTCGTTGGTCATTATCAATTGTTTTAAATTTTTTTTTATTGTTTCTGAAATCACAAGAAAATATTGGGATCAATGTGTAAAAACAAAAATCTACACAAAGCCATTTATTCAAACTCTAAACTTTCTGAATGTTTCTTATGTGTTTATTTATTTTGATGCATTGCAGATCTTCTCATAAAGACGGTGGTACTTTAGACATATTTGTGTGAATACCGAACATGTTTAGGCTTACGGTCGTATCATGTTGAAACATCGGTTCTCATTCGATCACCGAAGTTAAGCAACGATCATTACCTAACTGGGTGACCGCTTGGGAATACTAGATGCTGTAAGATTGGATGTGCGGGTGGTGTAATGGATAATGGCTCAAAATTGATAATCGGAGAGCTGAGTTCCAATTCCAGTTGGGTTCGTTAGATTCACTTATACGCAAATAACCTTGGGAAAAATCTGAACACCTCTTCTCCCCCAGCTATGGGTTAATTAGTAAGACTTATCGCTAAATCATTGTTCCTCCTCACCCCCGCAAAAAATTCTTACAATGTAAAAATATTTTTTAGCTTTAAATAAACTGCATAGTGTTGATAAGCCGTGTAAAACAATCAATCAATCAAACCAGTTGTGATTGATTATAAGCGCCCACATTATATTAAGTTTATTTATTACTGCACGAAGGTAAATGGATGGGAAATTGCCGGTCGAAAGATTGTGTCGCGTCAATCATCCAAGTGGAGACTGTCTGACTTCCATTATTGGTATTGAGGTCTTGACAATTTTTTTTTACGAGAAATTACTCATATTTTCGGATTAAGTGGATCTTTGTTGTTTTGAACACAGTGTTTTCTCTAATATGTTCTGGTGCCTTTCTCAGGTGTCATCCCTTTGAGGAGGCACGGTGGAGTAATGGATAGCGGCTTGGATTGAGGAATCGGGGAGCCGAGTTCGAATTCCAGTCGAATCCATTGCATTCACTTACGTGCTAATACCCTTGGGAAGTGTGAATCCTCTTCTTCTCCCTCTAGCTATGGGTAAAATAGCAGGACAGACTGGGTTCTATAGCCTTGGATAGCAACTGGTCTAAGAGAAGGAAAACTCTGAATTCAAAATCTGCGGAGGGTCGTTTGGGGACCTTGTGGCACGTAGTGCACCAAGTCTCAGTAATCGACCCTTTAAAAAGTGCGGATGGTCCTGCACGAAACCTTCACCATTATAATCAAATCTCATGTGCTATACATGTGGGTTTGGGGACTGCTTGTGAATTCTAAATTCCCATGAAACTCCAATATTGGAGCCGGCTCAATCCACCTCGGGTGAATGCCGTTACAAGAAGTGTCATCTTTGGGAATCTTTCTGAATCTTACCTACACTGGCAATACCAGGAAAATAGCTTTTATATCTATTATCAGCGTCGACAGGTCGTGGCCTGTGATATTAAATATGAAAAAAAAAAACAAAAAAAAAACACACAATAATACTAAAATAACGTATATTAAATATATAATAATGTCCCATAATAATATATCATATAATAATATCAAATATAAGAATCTCTGTAGTTGGGAAGATCGTATTTTCCTCATTTTTATGGAAACTAGATAAAAAAATTAAAACTGAAATTTCTTCTATTTTTAATTTTTCTCTGTTGACATGAGTCCCTATTGTCTTCATCACAAGAAACCCTTGTGTGTTCTGATAAAAAATTGACAATAATTTCTCACCGAAAACCAAATATCTTTTCAAGGTTGAACAACTTGTCTTATTTTCATATTTCAATTTTGCCAACATTATTTCCAGGTAGCGACTCTTCTGATGACAATTCAGGTAAGCATGTTTTTGTGCCAGTGACCGGATTGTTTTTTTTTTTTTTTAAACCCGTCAAAATCCACTGGATGTCTTCATAGAAAATGCTTGGGAAATATATTGCTTGTTTGATTCCGTAGATCTGAGATTTCTTTCTTTCATAGAAGCTTATATAAAATGTCTCCTGTGCATATAATGTGCGTTGCTCACTCTTGAAAAGGCATGAACGTGTAATCTTTAATCCATAGATTTTCAAAGAAGCTTTTCTTTTGAAAAATCTATTTTTTTCCCCTTGTGAAAGCATGCAATGGTTTCTCTTCAAAATGCATGTATAAACGTACAATTATTCAACCAAACATCAATTCTCTCTATCTATCTATCTATCTATCTATATATATATATATATATATATATATATATATATATATATATATATATATTGTAATTTGTTTATTTTTTATATTAAATTCCTCATGGTAGAGGGTTACTGAATAAGTTTGGCATGAATGTAAACGGAGGCAGAAGGAAATGAAAATTATTGCAATAAAGCGATTAACCCTCGACCTTAAGAGGATTAAGAATTTTTTTATGGATGCATCCATATTGAAGTTTATTCCACAGATTAAAAGTTCTCGGGGTGGGGGTGCTGAGTGGAACTTCCTCCTTACGAATGGAATACGGAGGAAATGTTCGTGGTCCGATTCCGTGGACGTGCTGTGGTGAGTCTAAGCTGTAAAAGTGTGAATTCTTGGAACTAAAGACTCTGTCTTATCTGAACATTTCCAGCCATGGAAATAGCGGTAGGCTCGCAACATTGTGTCTGTGTGGAAAGAAGCTGTAGAGTGCGAAATCAGTCATTCCCTACATGACTGCATAAATGATTTTGAAACTGGAAAGTGAGGATTGGCCAGTGTTAGAAACCTAATCCTTTTCATGCTATTTGTATAAAAGGGGCACTGATAAGGTCTTGATATGACCAAATATCTGATTTTTTTATTTATTTATTAATTTATTTTCTGGAATTCTTAGGCGGGCTGAGAACTTTTCATCACCCTTTTCATTTGGTGATTTACTAAGCATAGCTTTGTTGCGGAACAATATTTTACATCAGATTTAATTTGGACTAGACTGGACTCTCCCGTTGTTTATCGACGTATGGTGATCGAGCAGCTCAGTTCCTAGAAACTGACAGCCAGGCACCTGCACATATGATTTGATTATATTGGTGAAGGTTTTGTGCAGAATCAACCATATTTTTTGAAGAGGTGTATACAGAGACTTGGTGCACCACGTGCCACAAAGTCCCCAAACCATCCTCCGCAAGGTTTTGAATTCAGAGTTGTCCTTCTCCTAGAACAGTTGCTATCCAAGGCTATAGAACCCAGTCTGTCCTGCTATTTACACATAGCTAAGGGAAGAAGAGGATTCATACATTTCTCAAGGTATGAATTCCAAGGTTTCATACATTTACTTTTAGTTCCAATGGTATCATTAGCATGTAAAACAATGTAATATATATATATATATATATATATATATATATATATATATATATATATATGTGTGTGTGTGCCACAAAGTCCCCCAAACGACCCTCCTCGGGTTTTGAATTCTGAGTTGTCCTTCTCCTAGGCCAGTTGCCATCCAAGATTATTGAACCAAGTTCGGACAATATAGCCTGATTAATATCATACTCATAAAAAATGATGGTATTATTTATTATTTTCGAGCTAGAATCAGCCTGTCATCTTCGAGCATTTCGCAGACTAAGATGGCGGGAGTCTAGCCCTGAGTATTCGAACACTACGACAGCACCTCTCTCATTGTATCAACGAAGGGAAGCCGGAGAATTTTCTCGTTGCGGGGACGCAACGAGAAAATGCACAAATCACTGACAGTGTCAAATCTTCTCTTTTGGAAGAAGCGAATAAATACTATGATCAAAATGTAGTATCTGTGCTGTCTATGAAAAATGTTTTACACAACATATATATATAATAATTAGTACACTCATTTTTTTCATTCCTATTTTTTTAGTTTGTAATCGTTAAAATTAAATATACGTGCAAAGTATTATTAAAAAAAATAAACATTAAAATGTTTCTTTTTTAAAGAATTTAAATATCATCCGAAAACAAAATTTGCATATTACATTTTTTTAATTAGAACGTTACATGTTAATAGTTTTAAAAATTTCTCATTCAGCATTGTTAATTATCAAATTTTGATTAGTATTTTTCTTTATATTTCTGTTGCATTCTCAGGTCGTTACTCTGCGACCGTTAAGTATGAATCCGAAATAAAGACTAAGTCTCTAGCGAAATGTGAACACGCATCCTTTATTTTTGGACGTCTGTCTTACAGTGCATTCCCAATTAGGCTACAATGACTTCGTCGGCAGAATATTTCATATCTGAACTTGTTCACGGTTTTAATGTGTGAGATGTTTTTAAGTTTCAATTTCTAGCAAAAATAAACTGGCATTCGATATGCCGAATATTTTTGTTTTTTGTTTTTTCTTGAAAGATTTTTTACTTCTACAACAAATTGGTTCACATTACACTACTTAGGTACCTCCACGAGATCACTAAAAAAAGAGCACAGCATGATGAAAAAGACGCCAAACTTGACGAAAACAATTTCATCGTTTAAATGTTAATGTTATTATTTGGGGGTATTTTTTTAACACTTTTAATCGTTCCTAGCACGTCCGAAATTTTCGTTAAAAATCTGGTGGTGGGGGGTTTAAGTCAGCAAAATTGAATGATGGTAACCATTTTTTTCCATTTTATAAAAAAAAAATAAAAATCTGCTTGAAATTCTTTTAAATATCAATTTTCATTTTTCAAGACTTATTTTAAGAAAATCAGAAATCATAATGTTTATTTAAAATATTTTGAACCAAGTTTAACTTGGCTTCTGCGCCGAAATCCTCATCTAAAAGCTAATAACAAGAAAACGTGCAACTTTTTCAATTCTTGTAAAACGTGGTTTACTGTCTACTTTGGCGTTTCGCGGTCAAAAACTGACATCTTTTGCGCATGTTCGATTCTAACGTAATTGCATGTTACTTAAGCATGAATGCGTGTCATTAGCAGAAATACCTGAGCATCTTGATTTGATTTTTGACATTGTTTATTCTATTTTAATTCGATACAGCGTTTTATGTGTGTGTGACTGACAAGTTCAGTCTGTGCTGGGTATTGTGACACTCCATTACCCTTACTAAGTTTTGTTTTGAGCTATTATCTTTAATACAATTCTGTCAAGATTATATCGGCATTTATTAGTTTTTTTCCGTATGAAATCTTAATGAATGATAAAAAGAAAAGAATCTCTTTCATTTAATCCAAATGCGCTTTCATTTAATGATAATATCTGTTTTTCTTCCAATGGAACTGTTAATCACATTTTTAAAATCTTCGTCTTTTGCCTTAATAAACCGTTAAAATGTTTCGTCAGTATAAGAGAATATTGTATTGCTTATGAAAAACTGAAAAGAAATCTGTGGAGTAGTTGTCTAGTGAATGGCTAGTGCACCAAATTCCCATTACCAAAGCTGTTCAATATTTGAGCGATAAACCGTGAAAGCATCTGTTGTCATGGAGCAGAATTGGGCCATTTTTATACACTAGTCTAGGTTACTGTTTTTAAAAATGTTTTATACATACAGTTAATTTTATTATAGTAGGAGCTGGCTGTAATTGACTGTGTTAAAGAATCCTGAATTATGCCTCTAACCGACCACCACAAAATAACCATGATTGTTTTTGGATACAGAGATTGTTTTGGGTGATACTTTTGGGACTCGTTTGCATCTAACCACTGCCATATGCACTTACTGTCATCAAAGAGTATCCATTTCACGTCACAAGTAACAACTTCATGCAAAAATGGTTTGTTTTCAAGTCTGTGGAGCGCATATCTAAACATTGGTTTCTTTGATTCTTAGTCAATGTATACAGAATAAGCTTCTCCAACTTTTCAATAATTTTTTAAATGCCGATGAACCTTTATCCACACCCGTTGCTTTGTGACAACTCCAAATGTCAAGGTGATTTTTCGTTGAGCTTTTATACTATTGTCGCTTAATTTGAACAATCGACATTGTTTAATTGTTATCATTTTCTGGAGGCTACGAATAATGTTTTTTTTTTTTTTTATGGAAACAACGAACTAAAAGCTAAATAGTAAAGAGATTAGTAAAAAATAAACGCTAAATAAGGACTTATGCCAATAAACCTTTGTCATAAAACGTCTTGTTTGTCAATTCGATAAACAAGACATTTTATATGGAGGGAGGTAACCTAATTGTCAGTTTTAAAAAAAAAACATTTAAAAAAATTGATGACGAATAAATTCTGTTGTATCGATCTTTTAAGAGAGTCAGGTTTGTCGGGACTGAAAACTCAAAATACTACAAAATACTATTTTTTTTTTTTTTTTTTTTTTACCTGGGCTCTAAGATCCCCCTGGCACTGATGCCATACGCAACCATTTGTCATCAAGCAAGTTGTTGCTTTTTATGTGCCTAACATTATTCACGTGAAAATTTCAGTTGAATAATGTCATTAACTTTGTAAAACATAAAGGGTTAAGAGAATTCTAATCGATGTTTTTACCATATTCACGCAAGGCATAAACCCAGTTCCCCTTACACCTTGTTTCATCATCTGACAGATTTTACCAGATTTTTTTCAATAGAAATGAGTTTAATATCCCAAGAGAAATAGTGTGAGAAGAACAAGACTGATTAGCAATGATTGGCTGCTTAAATTGAAATGTGATCGCAAAGACATTTCAATGGATGATATTTTCTGGAAAGATTTTTTTTTCAAAATTTTTATTTAATTAAAAATGTAATTTAAAATATTTAAAAAAAATCCTTTTTAGTCAAAATTATTTCTAAGTAGAAATACTTATGGTACTTGGTGTAGACCAGGAATCGGCAACCTTTTGCTAATTATGTACCGACTTAGGGTATTAAAATCATTAAGTGTGCCAACAGCATACGTATTTTC